CTGAGCCCCGGAGTCGTGGAGCTCTATCGCAACTCGATACGTTCCCTCCGCTGCCAAGTTTCCGCTGAGGTTCCGCGAGGGTTCCCAACAGGGTTCGCATCCGGGTTCTAGTCAAGGTCTCCGTGTGGCTCCCCTCCAGGATTTTTCTCCCACTCAGGCACCGCCGACTGGGCTGTATCACGATCCTTAGTCGGGGAGAGGTACCGAACGACATGTTAGTGTGCCCATTCGAGTACTAAGTACATGCATAGTAGCATTGGCAGATCGGTGAGTCCGCGTCTGTGAAACCACAGACCGGCGTCCTGTGTTGGCCTGCATCGAGTCGAGCACCAATCTTGAACGACCATTTTCCCATCTGGAGACAGGGCTGGACTGGGGGAAATTTCGAGGACAGATCCGAGGACAGGTGACCGCGAATATGTTACTGTCCGATGTAAATACTGATGTGAAATTTTCCGATTATCCTTTGAGGCGTATCCATTCATTCATTCGTTGATCACTCGATACTCAATTTCGCCTTCCCTTTCGCAAACTGACCCTAGACGTGGTAGCCGACAGCAGTGAAAATTCATAAAATGTCAGCTCCAGTTCGGCTGCTTGCTTGATAGCTGATAGGAATCCTCTTGAGCCCGTCTCCAAGACACGCGCTCATCAATTAAGGGGTTCCAACTCAGAGGACGCGGCGCGTGGATTCCCCTCAGGATTCGAGACGCATCTTCGGCGCTCTCCGATCAGGAAGGGTGTCACATACATGGAAAAGTTGCGGGCCGCTCCTCCACCGAGCGCCATCGTCCTCCCTCAAGCACGATTTCGGAAACTAAATTAGGCGGAAGCAACAAGCCAAGCATGTCTCGTTCGAAGGCCCGCACGGATGAAAATATCATCCGAAGCCCATCGTGGAAACCTCGAAAAAATTACTTACCCTCGCTTGGCTCCGACCCAGACGTGGCTCAATAGCGGGAATCTCGGGCCAAGGGTGTGCAGCGAACGTCAGGCTTCGGATGATACGTCCGACAAGCGCATCCATAAAGACTCGCCGCTTCCATAGCGCGACAATCATATTCTGCAGTCATCCGTGTCGTCTCGAGTCGTCATCTACGTCTCTTAAGCGCTGAATTTTCAAGCAGTCGGCCGTCCATTCAAATTCTGATTCTCATGCGAGCGGGAACGGCTCAGCGATCGAGAATTTCTTCGCTAGGACCGACGAACGCTCGAGCCAGTCCGGCGTCGATTCCAGGGAACGTCACTGTTCCCTTTCTTTATCAAACGGTCTACCGGAGACGCAACAGTTAAGGTTGTAGAAAGCGAGGAAGGTGTCACTTCCTACGATCCTGGTCATCTTCGGTACACGGATAGATGATACTCTCTGCTTTCAGGCGATGTAAGAAGCTGAGCCCCGCCATTCATCAAAGAGGACAACAGGCCTTCGAGCAATCTTTCCTCGAGGCTTCTTTCCACGCTCCTCATGACAATGATCCCGGGTAGCCTCCGTCATTTACCCGCCCGTCGCCCGTTTCTGTTCCTAGCCGGAAAATTCTTTACGTAGAGCTACGGCAGCTATTCTTCGGAGGCATTCTTATTCGATCCCATGTGCAGCAACCAAGGGACACAGGAGGGAGTTCTCTGGCGCGTGGAGAAATAAGCAGCGCCTCCAAGCACCAGCTGAAGCAGAGTCCAGGGGCGGGAGATTGCTCGAATGCCATCGATTTTTGGAAGAGCTTTAGCCAAGCCATTGCGTCATAGAACGTCGGCCGGGAAGAGGCTGACTCCAAGGACGAAGCAGATAACACTGAGCATTGAAGCAACGACTCGCGATATCTGCTTCGCACAAAGACGACAGACCCCTATTCCGCCTGACCAGGGCTACTGACATCATCGAACCTGTCGACAATGCATTCTTAACCTGAGGATTCCCGCCTGACATCTTCTCTCGTTGGCCGAATAGGTGGAGGCTCCGCCGAGTACGAAGTCACGATCACCGATGATTCGGCTACGCAATTAGAATGGTCTCCGACGGGAGAGATCCTGGAACATTGACAGGCGTTTCCTCAGCTTCGACCGATGCGACGCGACGGTCAGGTTTCATCGGTCGACAGGCAACAAGAGCCTCCGAAGACTAGCCGACGCTCCCGGGCGAATCGTGAGCGCCATGGCGAACATATCTCACTCTATTGAATCAAGAGCGCTAAGATTCCACGGCGGTAGATCAATAGTTCCGGCAAGCGACCCCTGGGCGCTCCGACCCCTGGGAACTGCCAGAGCTCCGGGAGAGGGATGAACACCCCTAGAAGCTCCGCTCTGTGAGTTACGAATCAGGAGGTAGAGGCAAATCAGAAAAGCGAGAAGAGGGAACCCCTTGAAGTACTGGGTACCTTCCCGGAGTCTATCCTGGAGCTCACGGTTGGAGCTGTGCTCACAATACTTCGGAGGAGCGGGGTTCCTCTTTCTGTTAGAATGCTCCATTGAAAAGAGAAATTTGAGATAAGACGGAGTTTTTTTTCCTTCTCACGCGGCGCCCGAATTTCAAAGCAGACGTCCAGGAGGAGTAAATTCGCGCCTCTTCCCACCGAGAGCAAGATGCGCCCGCTTCTCCAGCCGCGACTGCTGCGGTGCTGGCGGGAATGGGAGCCAGTGGCTGAACCCAGCGGTCTTTGTGGTTGTGTGGTCTCAGGCTGGTAGTCGTGCAAGCGCGTAAGCACGCAATCGAGCAGACAGACTGCTGGAAGGAAGAAAGGCTAGCTCGCCAGCCCGTCGGCCAGCCTGCGAGTGAGCGAGTCGGGAGCCTCGGCTGCCCTCCCTCCTCTCGAAGAGATCCCCGATCCGTACCCTGTTGTCTGTATCGTTCCTCACCACCACCACCAACAGCGGGCCAGCTTTCCTGACAGGCGGCCGTGCCCGACTGCCTGTTCTCTTCTTCCCCATCCTATAGTCGTGCCGACGACGGCGGCGGTGGTAAGCAGGAGCAGCAGGGAACAGGAGAAACGGCGGCGGGAGCACGGCTACGTTCGGGCCCCGAATGGCGGTAGCGGCGAGCAGCGGGCGAGCTGGCGGGCGGACGCGCGCGGTTGGGTGGCAAGCGGGAGCGGCGGCGGCGGCGCACGATCGACCAGCCGCCTGGTAGGCAGACAGACAGGCGGGCAGGCAGGGTAAGGCTTACTCAGAAAGAAAGAACGAACGAGCATAAGGAGCGCCACTGAGCGGATGACTGGCGAATCTCGAGGGCTTGAGACACTCCGCGGATTCTGCGCGAGCTGGGGCCCTTTCCTTTCTCCCTACAGTTAGAGCCTGTTACGAGCAATAATACAACAAGCATAGCCTTCCACTGACTGCTGCTTGCTCGCTCGTTCGTCGTTGGCTGACTGGTTGGTTGGTTCGTTGGTTCGTTCGTTCGTTCGTCGGTTGGTCGCTTGGATCGTAGGCTGGTCCGTGGCTGGTCGTCGTTCGTTCACTGACTCGTTCGTCGAGTGGGCTGGTACGTACATCCGTTCGACGGTGGTGGACGTCGTCCTCTCGCTGATGGTTGGCTGCTCCGTAGGTTCGTATTCAAGTTTGCCCACGGTAGCAGCAGCAAGCACGACCGTAGCAGCAGCGACAACAATCGACAAGCGATCTCTCCGGAAGGGCCCTGTGAGTGAAGTGAGTGGTCTTCAGTGAAGCAACCTAGAACACTGAGCCAGCGCAGACTTGAGGGCTGCTTTGCTGTCTGCCTGGCTGCTCGATCGGCTGGCAACCATTCTCGACCTCCGTCGTCGATCTGGAACAAGCGTCGTCGACGGCGACAACGACTTCGTGAAACAGTGCCGAGATAGCGAGCAGTGGGGAGCACTTGGCATCCCTCGCTCCATTCCGTTCCCACCCCGTTCCTCAGTTGGTTGACAGACGCACGGACTCGGTGGCTTGCTCCGTCGACTGGTCGGTCCGTCGGTCGATCGGCTGTTTCTTGAAAAATACCCCGAACCACGCTCGCTTGCGTGAGCGGGAGAAGCTCTCCGATAAGGAACGTGCTGCAGAAAAAAAGTTCGGGCTCGTGCAAAGAGCGCGACCGGAAAGAGACTCGCACGTATCGCGCGACAAAGACGACAATATCGACGCTACGCTCGACTGTCGGCAACGACAACAACAACGAGGACGGAAACGTCGCTTCATAGCAAGCGAGTGCATTCGATACGAGCATCTGCTCGAGTGAAGGAGTGACTAACTGACGAACTGACTGACCGACTGAGTGACTGTATCCGATCAGAGTGCGCGTGAGTGATCGGTGTGCGGCAGGGAAAAGGCCCCGGGGCCCGTGGCCGCAGCAGAATGAGCGGCCAGGAACGTGTCGGGGAAGTGCCATGATCACGACAGCGGCATTACAATTTCCCCCCACCGAAGTGAAGAAGAGCCCTGGGCTCGTGGGGTTGGAGAGCCTGAACCAGACCCTTCCCATAGCGGTCATCAAAACCCCGTCATCAAGGTCTCTGTCGACGTTGTCAACATCGACATTTGGTGTCCAGAGAGGTCTGAAACGGCTCAGAAACTTCCTGTCCGAAGAGCCATCACAGCAGCGGGAGATTCCTGATGTGACGCGACAACAAGCACAACAACGTCAACAACAGGAACAACAACAACCACGACAGCCTGAACAGTTCGTCCGAGTGGAGGATCATCAACAACAAGAGCAACAAACTCGTCATCCGGAATTTCGGCCGCAACTACGAGGAAACCGTCAATCGTGGGACACGAACGAAAACTTGCGACACGGTGAGCCGTTGCTGCTGCGGCTGTTCTCAGTAGCGACACCACAACAACAAGGAGCCCAGGAGCACCGACAGCGATTGCCTGCCATGATCAGTGTGCCCGATGAATTCTATGAGATCTTTAAGCGGCAACAGTTGGAGCTGTGTTGATCTGTGCCGCGGTGACCCACCGACGGCTGCTCGCGAGGGCTGGGTTGCGTTCGACGCGCACCGTGGCCCGAGCAGCGCTTGATTGCGATTCCAGTTGTTGGACACCCGAAAATGGCGACGGCTAAGCCTAACATGGGTGTAGGTTCCAGCAGTTCAGAGCATCACACGGGAGACAGTTCGATGGCGGCCGAATTCTCCGATATGAGTGTCGGGGATCCGACTCCACTCAGTCCGACGGGCGGGGTCTCGATTTCGTCCCCGAATGATTCTCTTGCAACAGCTATTGCGGGACCCAGCGGTGGAGATCAAGCGGTTTCGACACCCGACGGTAATGGGGAAGCGGCTGACGGCGCTGAGCCTGCCGGGAGCCCCGAGTATGAGTTGGGCCATGGTCACTATTTCACGAAGAAAACCTTTCACAAACCCACCTATTGTCACCATTGCACAGATATGCTCTGGGGCCTGATCGGCCAGGGCTATATTTGTGAAGGTAAGTTGACTGACGCTTTTGAGTCAATGACGATTTGTATGGAGCTGATATGAACAGCGAGCTCTCATTACCCGATCCCGAACAAGTGGCTTCACCACTTCGAGAGAATGACGGGAGGGTCCGATCGTTGCTCCGAGCCTGTGAGCTTCTGTTAGCACCGAGTCGGAGGAATACCTCCGGGAACTTCGTACGGAAGTTCCAAAGGACGACGCAGATTGACCCGTGACCGCTGTCGTCTTCAGTCACGAGAGGAACTCGACGTTTTTTCCTCTCGAGGAACTACGCGCCATTCGACAATCCTGATAGCAGGACGACTGCCCCCAATGTTTGCATCCTTCTCGCCATACATTGCTTGGACGTCCACGACTTTTCGAAAGATCCTCAGTCTGCGAATTGATCTCCATGGTCGTCCTGAGCTCTTGAGTCGTTCACGGGCGTCGTCATTGAGAGAAAGCGATTCCCTCCCCTCGGCTGTTCACATATCCAGCTCGATGATAGGCTCAGTGTATAGATTCATGCTCAGTGTATATCCACAATTCGCCAAAATATCATTGGCCTTGTCGAATCTGAGGCCCTGCGAGAACCTAATGAAACTTTTCTACCTTTTCAGTTTGCAATTTCGTCGTACACGACAGATGTTTAAAAGTGGTGGTATCACCTTGTTCTACGATTGCAATCAACGTGATAAAGGTGAGTTAACCGAAAATTCGACCCTGCCGAACTCATCCGTGGATGATCTCGCTTCGCCTCTGTCGGTTCCTATGCTCCTTCCATCACAATCGGAACAACGATCCAGATCGCACAGATCGTTGACGCGATTGACAGCATGAACGCCAGCCGAGCAGATTCTGTGGCTACCACAGATGGTGATTGACGTTCGGTCGCACAAAGCGAACTCATGTCCCGGACTTGTTGATGGTTACATTCAGGAGGAGAATCGGATGTTCTCAACTGCGACTGCCGTACGAGCGAGCGACGTCTATTAAGCATTGGCGGCGATAACTCTATACTTGAGATGGAATTTGAAGAGTAGCAGGCATCAACAACTACAACGGTTGCCTAATTAGTCTGGCTGACAATGAAAGGCTAGCCAGCAACATAGGTCCCCTTAGTGGCTGGCTGACGACCTAGCTAATCGACTAAGCCGCTGAGGTTGAGCGAATTCATCGCTACTTCGTGAGAAATCTGATCTGTCACGCATCACTGCCGTGACGCTGACAACAAGCGAAACGTCCCCGGCCGCTATAGACACGATCGAGATCTGAGCGGTTCCTTTTTGGTCATTTCCAGAACCCCGTGCCACACTGTTGGACCGAAGCGGGCCATCTGAAGCGCAAGTTCTGTAATGTTTGTCGTAAACGAATCGAGGACAGCTGTGCAGTACGCTGTGAAGTTTGTGAGTACTGCGTTCATCTCGAGTGTCAGGACTTCAGTGTGGCGGATTGCAAGCAGTGTGCAACATATGCTGCCAGTAGGACGAGCAAGCAGCAGTCCCAGCCGGTACAATACCATCACTGGAGGGAAGGTACGGACGCCGGCGCACCTTGTCTGCATATAATTACCTCTAATTATGGCTCGTCTGAGTCGGTTTGATCGCGGAGTCGAATCGACATGAACATGAAATTCCTCTTTTCGCAGGGAACCTCCCAGCCAATTCCAAATGTTACACATGCAAAAAAGCGTGCTGGTCGGCAGAGTGCCTTGCAGGAATGCGTTGCGAGTGGTGCGGCATCACGGCCCACGCAACTTGCTACCGTCTCGTACCACCACAGTGCAATTTCGGGGTTCTCGAATCCATCATGTTACCACCAGCGGCTGTTTCCATCCCTCGGACCGATGTGCCTTTGGAAACCATCATCGGTAAGAGTTTCCGCGGTTTGGGCTCCGATCTTAGGGAGCTCTGGTCAAGGACCGAAGCAGCCGTCAGAGCATCAAATGTCGTGGACGCATGAGAAGGGTCCGGAGATGTAGTCTTTCGAGCGTATTCGGGTTTTCCCTGAGAAGGTCGATTAGCAGGTCATAATTTTTTCAGGAATGGAAATGAAGCGGCGAGAACAACAGTTAGCCCGCAGCGCATATCCTAACATCGCACGAAGCATATCGGAAGAATTCTCGTCGACTGGGGGAGAACTGACCAGTCAAAGTGACCGAGCCAACAGGAACAAGGATATGCAGGATGACTACCCTTCACCTAAAGAGAAAGACAAAGATGAAGAAGTTATCAAAGTATTCGACGGTGAGTGACGAGTTCCTTCACCCATACTCACTCTCGTCATGAATTTTTCAATGCGAGATACTTCCCTGAGATCTCCAAATCCGAGTTTTTGCGAACGGTGGCAGTTGCCAAACAATTGAGCCCCGCAAGCACCGGACCACAAAGAGCACTGCTCACGTGTCATACTCTCTCTCTCTGCAGGCAACACGTCGATGAAGAAAAAAATCTTCAGGACAATCACAGTGGCGCGCAACGCCTCGCGAGAAGCCATCATTGCCGCCGCGCTACGAGCCTTCCACATCTCGGGTGATCCGCGACATTATGCCATCACAGATGCGTGTGAAGGAGGTGAAAAAGAACTCCCTGATTTCATGCCAGTGCAAAGCCTGACGCGTCGGGAGGGGAAGCGTCCCGCCATCTTCCTTCGCTACAGACCACCAAATCCCGACCAGGGCTTTGTCAAGGTGAGAGGAAGCGCAGATTCCGACGAGATCATGTCCAATCGTTAGAGAGCTGCGACTCAATGTCGCGTCGTTCCACTGATTTCGTCCGTGAAGCAAGAGCGGGAATTCCTAAATACTCGGCAAACGTTTCTGTGTTGCCTGGAAGTCGTCTGTCCGCGCGTCTCCTTGTCCGCCGTGTCGATCATGTCGTGACCGTTTTGTCATTTCGCACATCGCAGGTGTTCCCCGGAAAACTTCGGTCCGGTGACATATTCCGCACTATACCAGTGACGAGCGACACCTCCGTCGAAGAGATCATGGTAGCTGCACTATTGAAATTCGGTCTAGACACATCGGATATCAACAAATTTCGATTGTCTGAGGTGACATTGGATAAGGGTTCGGTGCACGAAAGGGTGATGGATAATCAAGAATGTCCTTGGGAGCTCCTCAGAGGCATCGCTCGGGTAAGTCGTCTATCGTCAACCTGCCTTCCCCGAGAACCTCCCAAAAGCACCTCCTGTTGCACGCGGTCGGTAGAGTAGATTAGCGCGTTAGCTGTGCTTGGAACTCACCCGGCGAGAGTGCCCGATGCAGCACGGAAAAGCTTAGGAGTGAACCCTGAACGCTGAAAACGGATCCGTAATTTCTGAGATTCGCGAATATTAATGCGTGTCTTTTGCAGGAGTCGATTCGACAAAAAGAGCTCACCCGATTCTACTTGCAACAGAAAGAAGATTGCTACAGTGCAACCGTTGCCCTTTTCATAGGAAACCTGCCACAAAATCAATCACAAAGACAGTACGAAAAAATCCTGCTCGATCTGTTAGGAAAACGTGAGTATGAAGCTAGTGGACAGGACATGTCGATCGAACTCTCCAGCGAAGACCCCAGTCGATCATGAATTTATAGACTCTGAGCCTATTCCCCCCTCCGAGCTCCTTAGATTCCTTCCACTGACGTGATTCTTCTTGCTCCTCGCAGCTTACAAATTCAAACAGATCGGACCAATCTATTACGAGTACGGCTCGTTGGTGGTCACCTACGATAACGCCGACATCGCCGTGAAAGCATTCTATATGTTACGAGAGACTACGTACGATGAGAAGCAATTACTAGTACTTCTACTGCCCAGCCTGATACCGGCAAATATTCCACAAGGTGTCCGGCCCCTCTTGGTGTTTGTTAACGTTAAGTCCGGAGGGTGCCAGGGCCTCGAACTGATAACATCGTTCCGCAAAATGTTGAATCCGTATCAAGTGTATGATTTAGAAGGCAGTGGGCCCTTACCCGGCCTCTATGTATTCCGTCATGTACGTAATTACAAAATACTCGTATGCGGCGGAGATGGCACCGTTGGTTGGGTGCTGCAGTGCCTCGACAACGTCGGCCAAGATTCCGAGTGCCAATCGCCGGCGTGTGCCATAGTGCCATTGGGAACCGGCAATGATCTCGCAAGGGTCCTCCGTTGGGGGCCCGGCTACACAGGCGGAGGTGATCCGATGTCGTTACTGAAGGACGTCATCGACGCGGAAGAAATTCGTCTCGACCGTTGGACCGTTGTCTTCCATACCGACGAGAAGGACGAGAGTAAACAGGGAACATCTAACAACACATCCGAAGATAACACCGCCATATTTGTCATGAACAACTATTTCGGAATTGGCATCGATGCCGATCTGTGTTTAGACTTTCACAACGCTCGCGAAGAGAACCCAAACAAGTTCAATAGCCGTCTGCACAACAAGGGCGTCTACGTGAAAATGGGTCTGAGAAAAATGGTTTCCCGAAAAACGTGGAAGGATCTTCATCGTGAAGTTCGTCTCGAAGTCGACGGTCGCCCCGTCGAGTTGCCTCAGGTTGAAGGTACGTACGTGCGAGCATCGCTTGCTCACTCGGACGCAGACGACATCGCTTCCTGTTGAATATCCCTTGTCGGGTCGTCGTCGTCCACTATTGCACCTCAACCCTCTCTCTGACTCGTCCGACCGAAGACCGAGGGTCGTCGAGATCATAGGTGTGCGGCTCCGTAGAGGGTGACGAGTGTCACGGAAACATTTCGATCAGGTTTGGCTTATTCTTTTCCAGGGATTATCATCTTGAACATTCTTAGTTGGGGCTCCGGAGCAAATCCATGGGGCCCTGAGAGAGATGATTCGTTTACAAAACCTACACATTACGATGGAATGTTGGAAGTGGTTGGAGTGACAGGGGTCGTGCACATGGGACAGATCCAGAGCGGCCTACGAAGCGCCATCCGCATTGCGCAAGGAGGTCATCTACGGATTCGGCTTCTCACAGAAATGCCGGTCCAAGTCGATGGGGAACCCTGGATCCAACCCGCAGGGGAGGTCGTGGTTCTCCGTTCAGCCTTGAAGGTGCGTATCATCAATGATAATATCCTTAGCGGAGGAATGCCTTAGAGATCATGACTTCTGCCCTAACTATAAATTGCCGGAGAGCTGATGCTAAACAAACCGCCGATTGGCTTCGCCGTGCGCTTGGCGAAGCAGCATGATGAGAGCACCCGAATCACGCTCTCCTAGTTCAACAAACGGGAGCTTGAGATAACTTGGGAAAAAAATAGTCCTCCCACTCGGTAGAAGAGCGATTTGGCGCATCAGGTTCTCCTGATATGATCTAGCAGGCTGGTCTGGCTAACGATAATCCAAGGGCTTTTGCGAACAGAGGGAAACCGTTAGAGCGAGCGAATGAGAGAGAGAATAACCCACTCCTATGCACCAGAAGAATTTTTCAGTCTAACATTGAATGAACTAACGGCACCTTCTCTTCTCTCCTTCTTCGATCGTGGTGCATGCCCTCGCCTCCGCACTCCAACTAAACTTTCGACTCACCGACACCGCATACGCTGCCGACACCTTCAATCAACTTGGCTGTCAACGCTCAACTTCGCTGCCTCCGCGGCTGACTCACGATGTTTACTTCTGTCGATGCCATTGATTATGCCACAACACCGACAACTTCGGAAATCCCTGGACCGAAACAATCATCCACGTATACGATCCATTGAACGAACTATCGGATGTCAATTCGTTGCACGTCAACAGGCTACGATGCTCCGCAAATCGAAGATGAAACGCCGCAATACGGAGCCAATGCTCGCATCGGCTGCCTCCGGTGTCGATAAGCCCGGTAACCTGGACCAGTCGACGACAGACTGACTGCGTTGGTATCACCTATGCCACGCACTCTCCAGAAGGTGTTTCAAATGGTCAGCGCAATTGAACTGTGGCACCAGCTCGATGGGTCCCCCGCATCTCGAGTCTGCCGAAAATCGGTCCCGGCGTAGGAAACTCAGTCTCAGATGTGTAGCCTCAAATTGTTCGGTACTCTGTCGTCCTTGTGTGACTTCGGCCGCCAGACAACAAGCCGCTGCTTGTGTGAACTGCTGTAATAACGAGCGGGACGACGACAGCGAGACGGGGGAACTACTATAACTCCGATGCAGAGAGCAACATCAGCAACGACCAAGCGTCCGCGACCATCATCGATGCTCCGATTTCCAATGTGGTTACTCGTCCTGGACGAAGAGCCGTCACCATCTCGATCGCAACAAAATTTGATTTTTCTCTGCTGCGCTGATCGCTGCGATAATAATTTCCGGATCGAGCAGCGGCCTGCTGCTGAAGCGCTCCGCCGATCCTCGCTTTCGCTGATCATTTGTTTAGCGTCGGGCTGTGACGCGTCCGCCGACGGAAGTCTTCCTCCACTCCGGGGGAATCGCATAGTTTCGTTTCGTCAAGAGTAGTCATGCTCAAAGTGGAGACCCCTACATATGTAGCGCATTGGTACGATTTTCGATTGAAATCTGAAACGCGTACATGAGAGGAGCCAACGTCGCATCGTCGACGCAGCAGCCGAAACTTCACCCGAGGAACACTGAAGGGTGATTCTCGGAGACCTCCCACGAATACTAAGTATTCCATTGTACAATCCGCTTCTAGCTTTTTCGGCTTTGAAGCGATCGGAGACTCTTAGTAAGACCAACTAACAGGCACTCAGGCCCAGTTCACACCACTACACGATATGACCAGGTGATTCTGTCGAGGAAAGTCGCCAACAAAACCCGATGACACCTTTCACGATCAGAGCGTGGATCAATAAGAGCGACACTTACAACTGGTGATAATGCGCTTGAAAAAAAATGTCGCTCATCCTAATAACAACCTCAGAACTCGAAGCCACTATACCAACATCCGTAGATAGGAAAACAAACGTGAGAGAGCCGGCCGGTGGAAGTGCCCGGCTCGGTACAACGATTTCGCAGAAGCTTTGAGCATCATCATCTACTGTTGCAAAAGCTCGGTCAAACAGACACAGGATTCTTCCGGCTGAAGGCAAGGTTCGTCCTTACCCTTACCCTCGGTCTGCTAATGGTCCTTGGACAGCTGAGAAGTTCGGCGGAAATTTACAATCCGTTGATTTTTTCACAAGCGAGATGCAAAAAACAAACTGATTAGTCGAACATAAGAGAAGACGGTGATGGGGAGAGGCCAAGGGAGTCATGCCAGGAACATCAAGCGCCGAACAGGAAGTGGTGGAGGATGGAGGGGAGCTTCATAATTGGTTCAATGGATATTGACAATTGTGATGAAAAAGAAGGGAGACCGAATGTTGGATCGATAACTCGACTCGAATCGGAAGTCGATCGATTCTTTTTCAAAAGTACAAACTCGTCACGAACGCTTGACAAGTGAATGTTCAACAAAACTGTAATATTGCCTCGGGCGAAGTGTCGGAATGACGTACCACTGATGAATATTACTACTGATGATACGAATATTATGGTTACTATCACTATCATCATCACTATTATCAACGATCGATTCACATCCTTTCATCGTACGAAGATTATTATCGTTACCATTGACACCACTACTACCATTGTATAGCGGAAAGGCAACCAGAGCATAGGGACAGAGTGATGCAGTCGGACATATGATACCTATGTAGGAGGAGATAGCCGATTGACTCAATGGGGTTTTCTTAATAAGGCGTATCGCGACACACCGACAACAACAACAACAACAACACCACCACACATACTCATGTCACTCATTCCTCTCAAGACACTCGTGCAAGCGAGAGAGCTGTAATATTATTTTGCAACACGGCGACGTTAGAGGACGTCCTCTCCACTCGGTTCTTCAAACACCGTATTTGCCACTTGTCGGGCTAGGCGGTGAGCGATACCTATCACCACCTAGGAAGAGCATGCGATCCTCCGAAGACGTGCAGCCACCGTGGAATCTTTGAAGCGACTATTCCCATATCGGGGCGACCTTGAACTTGGTCTCAGGGGAGCTACCAATCAACGCGACTCTTTTCCCGCTGCTCCCAGATACCCGATCGGCGAGTCCATCAGAAATTCTAATCTGACCTGATTCTTCTCATCGCCGGCGACCACGAATCCAACTCTATCGGCTTCGATGAGGCCGCCACCATAGAACCACCTGTTGCTCCTCATCGCGTAGGGACCATCCAATGTGTCTCTCTGCGGAGAATCAGGAATAGACACGCTTGACTATCTGGAGTATGAAGCACCTAATCAAATTTTCCACGGCACCGATAGACCGGCTGCATGCGTACCCGACACTAACGAACGCTTGACGGCTGGCCCTGAGAGAAAGCTGAGCTGCCAGGATCGAGAGTCAAGGCGAATCAGACGAGGAATTCATTGGCGAGCGACCACTCGATTCCCCCTTGGGGAGCCCATATGCTGAGAATCCTTCTATTCCTTATGCAGCTGTGATTGAAGTATGGAAAACGAATTGCAATCTGAGTTCCTCCGCAGGCAATCATGCTGCGTAAAAAGCCCAAACCTCATCGAATCCACCGACGAAATACGGAGCCCACCCTGATGTCCGCAAACAAATAGTCACGGAAAATCACCTCATTTGACTGGCTTTAATTTCAAGAGCGAAGTACTCGAAAGAAGCTCCGAATCCGAATCATGCTCTCAACCCTCCGGGGTGCAGCCACTCTACAAGAATAGCGGACGAGCCCGCTTGACCCCTACGGAGGGGAACAGCAAGTCTCCATTTTCATCCGAACATCTGGCCAGATTGCTCACTGACATAGTGGTAAGCCGAGTGGCTTTGTCGAAGCGGGTGGCAAACCAGGTGGCGCAAGCCAGTGGTGCAAGCATGAACAACAACGTATTTTCGATTTGAGTTTAGAGAAATTGTTGACGGTCCGGCTTCAACCAAGTAATCGCGTTCTCAACTGAGGTTCGTGGATCGATTCCATTGAATTAACAATGCTTATAACTCGATTAAATCAAAACTGATGATAACTGTCCCGATCGACGCCGTCGAAACTACGAAATACTGCGATATACGGAATCTGTGACTTGTCGGAGATGTTCCTCGTGTTGACATCATGTAAGAGCTCTGTGGCTCGCAGTCGGAGGAGATTGTATCATGTGTTCTCCGGCATCGGTTATATACCCATTCACTGTTCAAAAACACCCGTGGAAGACTGCTAGGACCTTTGGTATGAAGGTCTCAGTGATAACAGTATCTCAGAATATGGAGACACACACACATTAAACCATCCGCACTAAAACTCCCCATGCACCTTTCCGCTGCTGCTGCTGTCGCCGGCAGCCGACAACTCCGGAAAGTCGTTCCTGATCCTCAGTGGAAACTGATGTCCGAATGTCATCAGGAGATCCCTATCAGGTCAGCGCAATCCCCGGTTGAGAGATAACAGTCGGCGACAGCTCGGCTAACGACTGAGGGATGTCTCTCCGTCTTCGGAGAGATTCATCGCGCGCGAGAGGTGATCAGTATTCCGAAGAGGAGGAGATATTAGACGAAACTCACAGACACGGAGCCGACGCATCTACTCGTGCATCAATTCACTGTGCCATTGATTGAGTTGAGTGGACTGAAAAAGTAATTTCCAGATCTACTTGACGATTATTGCTCTTCGATAGCCCCTCTCTATGAGAATCGTTGATTTCCGCATGCACTGACTTGTTTTTCGCCACTTGGAGCATCCAGCACCGTGGACGAGGCAAACTTCTAACTTGTTAACAGAATAAATATTATTATGACGATGGTACACGATGCACAGGTATGACATACAGACATCACATAGAATTGTGCGGGGAGGGGAACCACCTTACTCACAACAAATTTACATCGCTCGTCGACATCCTAGGTAGCAAGCTACGTGTGTATCGGACAAATGACGACATGTTTGCCTGCTGGCTCGTTGATCATACAATGAATCCTCGAAATCCCGATGAGGATTCACTCACCGCCGTTCGGTTCGTTGATCGTGTGATTGATTGCTAATCTCATTGTCCAAGTGCTGGTTTGAGTGTGCTTAATTGGAAGGACGGATACGGCCGCGTTGGCTCAATGATTTGAAGACTTATCCGCTTATTCGCGCTTTTCGGCGGGAACCGCAATTTTTGGGCTGCACAATCGGAGAGACACCGGAATGCAGGATCGCTGTCCAGTCGCGACGCGATTGCTCGAGAGTCGCTGCGATGTCGACTTGTCAGAACTCTCCTCTCCCCGGCCGATGCCGTGGGAGGGTTGAGTCGGGCGAGGCAGAATTTCCTGGTAAACAGAGAGCTCTATTCGAGTTGTTTTCCATGAAAACTCTACGCGAAGGGTTACTTCGAATAATATCTGCCCTGGTGAACGATTATACCGGTGCCTTGGCGCGAGTGGCTCCAGAATCGTATGATCGTCGATGGCCTGCCGGTGCATAATCATGACACTCAACCCGTGGAGCTTGAATATAATCGAAACGGAGCGAAGGGGTGGGTTTGCGATTTTCGCACGCAGTATTTGCTGAGCCGCGATATCGGAACGGACTGCCGAACCTGAAACTGTCGACAAGTTTAACATCGCTCGAATTTATCCGATTCCAAGTGATTCGAGCTGCATAAACAAGGTCCGGCTCGTGAATCGTCCTCAGATTAGGCACGATTCCTTTGCAATCTGAGGTCTTTGACTTCGCGCGCATCGAGAGGCGCCAGCTGTCGCTGACTCTTGATTCGCTTGGATCCGGCGAGGTTCACGAGGACTTTAGCCCGGTACTGGGGCGACGACAATTGATAAGTACCGCGAGATTGAAGGCTTTTGGTCAAAGTTCCGGTTACCTCTGAGTCATAGTATTTCGTGGAGTCGTTCTTTGCTGA